CATAAAAAAAAAAAAAAAAAGTTAGCTTATATTCTTTATGATGCTGCTGGTGATAGTGATATTAGGTCTATTTATACCTTGTTGAACGACAGTTCTCAAAAATTGTCAATTAACTTACCAGCAACAAGCTGGATGGACGTCTCCAAAGGAACAGATTGCCCTTCCTGGTCCATTTGGTTTAAAGACTTACACGAATTCTCACAGTCCTTGAGTAACAAATGCTGGCTGACAATGCGTGGGAGCCCGGCCTGTTTTATTGGTTTCAATTTCTCCAACCAACAAAGACACTCAATGGGGGAAATCTGAGCTTACACCGAAAGTTCCTAAGTTTCTTCCAAAAATTCCTATTGAAATTTGTCTTTTTTATTTCGCTGAGTCTTACCTAAAAGACGGAGCTAATTTTGTTCTGTCTTCCAAAGTTTTCAGCTCTTCGGAGGCGAGAACCATACCACTATCCGTCTGGTTGTCCTTTCAAGAGATAATGAGATGGCACAGTTGAGCGTGTACACTGACCAGCTATTTAATGAAACCGATTTTTAACTCATCTATCGGACAATGGCCGTCAGAGGAAGGTAAAGGTATCAAAGCCAAAAATTGTGCTTGCTACAAAAGGAAGCAACTGCTTCCTGGACGTAGACTTAGGCCAGGGAGAAGAGAAAATGTATCAAGTAGCAGGTGAGGATGCCTGTTTTCATTCCTCTTTTCACAGTAGTGCTATTCACACTTTAGTGAACCTTGGACCAGAGACTTTACTTATGTAAAAACCCAAGTTCCATCTCCATAATGACCCCGTTGACACATACCTTCAAGGACAGCCTTATAAATGAGGCTTCGAGACTTTAATGCTTAGGCTAATATTTATCTAGCTAGTGTTTCATCCTTTGTATTATTTCTAAGACTATTTTTAAAAGATGTACTTACATCTGGGATTACTTTGACTTCTGGTTCTTCCAATGGGATATCTTCAAATGTTTTGACACTCACCGGCCGGCTCTTTCCCTTACTGTTCTGCAGATACTGACTGCAAAAGAACAAATATTTGCATTTTAGTGGTGGTATAGTTGGCTGCAGATCCTCCAAGTGATACCTAAGTTCATTAGCTTTCAACCGCAAGTTTAAGAGCAACCCTCAAAACATCCTTTGGAAAAAAGCAAAACAAAACAAAACAAAATCTTTCTCTGCTAGCACTCATGGAAGGCTTAATTTCCTGTGAGTGTCCATTTAAAAGTATAATGTCACTGAGGAGTCCAGATGAGCCCCTGTTCCTTGGAATCGTACTTCTGAGACCCAGCGCTACCCTGAAGACAGCAGCAGCAGGCTGGGTGACCAACTGCCTTCTACTTGGCTTCCTGATGGCCTGGGATTCCTCCACCGGGCTCTGTACACGTTGCCAAGAGTTTCACATCTTTCTGGCCATCTCTTAGGACAGTTTTGCTAGATAATGCCAACAGAACAAGCAGCCGATGAAAGATGGGCAGAGGCAACACCTGTAGGTCTCCCTAAAGGATCCTGAGCCCAACAGTAATCTAAAGACAACTAACTCCTCCTTCCACGTGTAGCAGGGGCTTAGTGTGCAGAGGGACACTGTCCCTTATTTTTAGCCCCCACGAGTTGCCTGTCTCAGCAAAGGCCAGTGGTTTGAGAGTCATAAGATATTTTGCTTATTTCGGAATTTCCCGCAGACTACAGGAGCAAGAGAAAGTCATGAATATTTCTGCATCTCTGATGGCCCTATTTTAAAAAAATGTATTTGGCAGTAGCTCTCAGAGATGTGGGGAAGACGACAGGGCAAATGTTGGGCGCCTTGTTCTTAGAAAGAATAATGCTCTATCAATCAAAGCTTGTTTTTCTCCTTTGAATTCCAAAGGGTGACAACAGGGACTCCTGCAGGAGTCAGATCAAAGACTAAGACTTGTCAGACAACAGACCACCTCTTTCTTGGGAGGTGCTCCTTCCTGGCCACGGGCCTTCGGGTGAGTCTGGGTGATCTGTCAAAGTCACCGCGTAGAGCTCAAGTGGAGAAAAGTCCTTTTCATGGGAGGGAATGGAAAATACACTCTTAACTCTTATCCCAGCCTACTTTCCACTATAAGTAGGCTTCTAGAACTTGCTGCATAGACCTTGGGCCAAAGAAGGAGAATGGAAACTAAGTCTCGGCCGGGCGCGGTGGCTCACGCATGTAATCCTAGCACTCTTTGGAGGCCGAGGCGGGAGGATCGCTCAAGGTCAGGAGTTCGAAACCAGCCTGAGCAAGAGCGAGACCCGGCTACCAAATAGAAAGAATGTAATTGGCGCCCGAACAAATATTAGAAAGAAATTAGGCAGGCATGGTGGCACATGCCTGTAGTCCCAGCTACTCGGAGCTGAGCCCAGGAGGACGCTCCTTGAGCCAGGAGGTTTGGAGGTTGCTCGTGAGCACGAGGCTTGCATGCCCAGGCACTCGCTCTAGCCTGGACACACAGAGCTGAGACCGTGTCTCAGAAAAGAAACGAAAAGAAAGAAAAAGAAATAGCAAGAAAGGAAGAGAAAGAACAGGAAAGAAAGGAAGGAATAGGAAGGAAGGTAAAGAGGAAAGGAAGGACAGCAAAGGAAAGAAAAGAAAAGAAAAGAAAAGAAAAGAAAAGAAAAGAAAAGAAAAGAAAAGAAAAGAAAAGAAGCAAAACTAAGTCTCTCTCCTTTTCCCCCTGGAGGCTGGTCCTTCCCCTTACGGAGAGGAGAGAACGAGGTTACCAGTGGTATCCTCACTAAGGAAGTGCCACAAGAAAGAGGAAAAAAAAAAAAAAAAACAGGGATCAGGCAAAGCCCACTTTCTCCGAAGTCCAGTCCCTAAAAGTAGTGGTTATCAAGAACTACGACACCATAGTCAATCATCTTTTCATTCGCTCATTCGGGAAGAATGTGCCACCTGCCAGGCACTGTGCCTTGCAAGTGTCCTCTAAACATCATCCCCTGGCATCTGCACAGGGACCCCTCTCTAGGGGTGGGTATTAGCATGCCAACTTTTTAGGTGAGGAAACTGAGGCACGGCAAGGTTAAGGAATGTATCCAAAATCTAGCAGAGCTAGCATGTCTGCATTACTGTTTTGAGGGCAATGAGAGGCCACGAAAGGAATTTAAGCCTGAGACTGACAAGGTGGGGTATTCCTTTAGAAAGGTGAGTGTGGGCTGAGAAGCACAGCATAGCACGCTTCTCTGGGAGAAAGGAGGGCAAGCCTGGCTAGAGAAAGGGGACGCCTGCGGGTTGGGGACCTGGACAGATGTCAGTGGTATCTGGGGTGCAGAATCAACTGGAGCTGGCGAGTGTGGGCAGTAACTCAGCGGCCTCAGAAAGGACAGCTCCCTGAGTTCTGAGTCCAATAATTTTAAAACTGTGATAGTGCTTTCCGGCAGACAAAGCATTTGCACACACATTGTTGCACCTGCTCCTCACCACACTAGGAAATCGGTCTTTGTATTATGTCCCACTTGCAGATGAGGAAGCCAAGGCTCGGCGAGAAAATAGCTAATAAAGGGTGGAACTGGGACTCAAACTTAGGTCTTGAGAGGCATTTAATCATCACTCGCAATTAACCAAAACGAAGAAAACAGTATGCACCAAAACCTTTCTCTGAGAGAGAACTGCAAGGACATCTCTGATAAGCTGCTCAGTGTGGGAGGTGACAGTCCCAGGGGGAAATGACAGGGCAGCCACAGATGGTCCCCAAACTGCCCGCAAAGAAAGATGAGGCCAGTGGCCATGTGCTTTCTTGCAGGAAGCAGGCAAACGTGGGACCAGAGCTGACCCACAGGGGAAATCGGAGACAAAACTAAGTCCAGACGTGCCTGGTCCTTCCCCCACACACTTCTCAGCCTCTTCTCTAAATAAATGCTGAACAAATATTATTAAAATGGTTCAAAGGGGCAATGACGAATCACGAGGCCGGTTCCCACAGTGATGTCTCTGTCCAGCTCTATTTATAATGCAATGGAATTGGAAATTACAAGGAGGAAGCAAGTGAGAAAGACGCCTCCGTTTTTCTACTTGGCTGGAAATGAGAAAGAGGATGGAACCGGTCCCCCGAGAGGTACCCAGCCTAGTCTCGCCCTCCCTGGAGAAGCAAAACCACAGGAGAACATCAGAATGAAGCGTGCCGTGTGCAGATGCCTCCATCTGCCTTTCTTTGAACCCAGATGATTAGAAGGTGACTGGGGGGTTTTATTTTTATAAAAAGGAAAAAAAAAAAAAAAAGGTGGAGGGAGCTGAGAAGGGATGCAGACAAAAGACTGCCATTTCCATTTTACTTTTCAAAAGTACGGCTGGCTACAAGAGAAACCGGACTGGAAAACCGATTCAGAAATCACAGACAGAAAATAGGAGCCAGGCCTGGGGCGGGAGAGCGGTGTGGCACTTGTCCCCGCGGCTGGGGACACATGTGAGCAGTCCTTGTTTAGACCCAGCATCGTGTTTGGCACTTCCGGCGCACAAACTCGACTTCATCTCCTGCTTGGCACCCTATGTATGCAAAGCACCCAGAGAGCCCAGAGGCTGCTGGCTTGGATCGTCACTCCACTTGGTCACAGAAAACACGAAGCGTATAGCTCAGGGCCGAATGGCTTTCTGAGAATGGAGCGGCCAGTAATAGAGTTTTGGGAACAATTATCACACTAGGAGGCCGAATGCACTTGAACTAGGAATCTGTCCACATAAGAGTGGAACTGGAGTCCCATCTCATGCCTCTTTCTCTCTGAGGACCCTCCTGGGCGTGGGAGAAAACAGCACCGAATTAGAAGTCAGGGGAAATGGATTCATCTCAGGGAGGTGACTTAATAGCCATCTTTTACTGAGTGCTTTCAAATGCAGGGCACTTAGAAATGCGTTCTATGGTGCAACTCTCAAAACAGCCACTTTCAAACAGCACCCGTGGCCTTGCCTCGTGTCACAGACAAGGAAACTGAGGGAAAGGGTGGACGATCTGCCCCAAGTCACACAGCTGCGAAAAGGCCACTTGAAAAGGCCACTTGGGAGCTCTAGTGACTCTAATACCTGCATCAAGCTGAGCCTCATGCTCAATTGTACATCAAAGAAAAGAGACAATAGTTTCTACTTTGCCAAACTCTGAGCATTATCACCGTGCGCAAAATCTGAGAGTCTATGGAAAAGTTCTTTTTAAAAAATGCCGAATGCTTTTGACATAAAAGGAATGGTGAGCTCACTTGTTGGTTTCTAACCGTTCTAAGCTTCCTTCTCTCATCTCGGCGTCCCTGCTGCCCTGCATGACTCTATGGGACACTTGGTCCACGGGGACCTCCCCAGCACCCCCTGCCATGCGGCACCCTGGCCAAGCGCCCCACATATGAGAGCGGTCCTGCCCCTCCTTGCAGCTCAGCAGGGCGGGCTGGACCCCGGCCATCGGGGGCTCCAGTTTAAAGGAGGAAAACACCCAAAGGGGTTGGGAAGGAAACAAAGCAAAGCGAAGCGGTCCCAGGCTTAGTAAAAGGCAATTTTAATATCACATGGCAGAAACCCGTATCCACTCTTTCCTTTATGCACAGGTGCTGGGAGAGAGAAAAGCAAGCTGCCTTCAGAACCCCTTGACACACCAAGAAAGGGCTGCAGGGCATGTGTTTTAAATAAGCCCAGACGTCCCATTATGCAAATAAAATGCTGCAGATCAGGCTTGGGAGGGGCCTCTGAGGTGCCCCGTCCAGTCCAATTCAGGACTCAGACCTACGGCGCTCTGTGTCTTCGCCGGAGAGCCATGCGTGTGTTTGTGCACAGAACTCTTCCTTCCTCAATCTCTTCTAAGCCATTTCGTTCACGTTAATAAAAGCGTGCATGGGGATCATTTAAATGCAGATGTCTTTGCACAACTGGTCTCTCTCGTTCTGGAGTTTAACAAATGGTGGCATTCCAGCTATTGCAGCTGCAGGGCTTACAATGCTTAAAGGAAGAGCCCTGGAGACCGCATGGGCTACAGATGGGAGGAAACTCACCTACTAAACCCTCCTGCAGAAATGCTCCCCTTTACGTTAGCTTGTTGGGGCTAAGGCTATGTGCAAGTGGGATGCAGCTAGCCTTACCCAAGGTCTTCCTCCCACGTCCACGCCCCCTCCCCAACATGGCCTTGAAGCCCCCACCCCCCCAGCCCCGGGGGATGCCGGCCACATACAGTACCTGATTCCTGCTGTGTTGTCATAATGGAATTTGGGGTCACACACTTCCTCTTCCTCCATGCAGGAAACAGGTGAGGTAGGCAGAGAGAGTCCAGAATCCTCTTCCATGCTCAAAGTCTCTGATATTGGAAGAACAATGTAATCTTTGCCATCCTGAAACAATAAACACAGCATACGATTGTTATGGCTTCAGCCCTTCAAGAGACTTTTCATGAAAACAAAGGGCCACAGGGCCTTCTTGGGTGTGTTGTTTTCATTATCTGAACAGAGAACTTTAAGACAACATTAAATATGGTTTGTCCAAAACAAAAGGCCACTTAAAAGGAATGTGTCTATGAAGGTATATATGTATATACTGTTTATTTATTTTTTTTTTTGAGACAGAGTCTCACTCTGTTGCCTAGGCTAGAGTGCTGTGGCATCAGCCTAGCTCACAGCAACCTCAAATTCCTGGGCTCAAGCGATCCTCCTGCCTCAGCCTCCCGAGTGGCTGGGACTACAGGCATGCCCCACCACGCCTGGCTAATTTTTTCTATATATATATTTTTAGTTGGCCAATTAATTTCTTTCTATTTTTAGTAGAGACAGGGTCTCGCTCTTGCTCAGGCTGGTTTCGAACCCCTGACCTTGAGCGATCCGCCCGCCTCGGCCTCCCTGTATTAAGGTATGTCAAAGGAGAGGACTGAAAACAAGGTGGGTAAGGAGCCCACAGGGCACTGTGTTCACACTGAAGACAAGGCAGGCTGTGGGCAGAGACACAACAACGCAACACACAGAGCTAAGAAATCATGTCTTCACAAAGCCCCATCTACACGAGCCAGGTCGTTCAAAGGGCCTGGCATCCAATCTTAGCCTCTGCATTTCAAGGCAATGGAAAAACGGATGACAGTCTAAAGAAAAGGAACAAATAGGTAGGAAAATGGGTCTTTGAGAAAAGCTTGCACAATTTAACATGACTTCAGCCAAGGAAAGAAAGAAAGGGCAGTCTGATACCTTTAAATGTTTGGAATGCTTATTGATACAATCAGATTGGACCCATCACTGTCCCCCAGATGTTCACAAGACAAGGAGGAGGACAGTGGCCTCTATTGAGATAAGAGATGTTGACTGTAGGTGAAGTGACTTTCCAATGGTAAAGGCTACAACCCTAAAATCCTGCAATACAAGTTATGGTGGGTCTGAGATTTTACTGAGGAAGAAACTCTCTATTTTGCATAGTTGGGACGTATTTTTGCCTGCAGAATTTATTTAAACATTCCTTCAGATTCCTTCCATTGCTGATATTCTGTGGACAACCCAGATTCTTCTGTTAAATTTCAGAAGAGCACGTGAAAACACAGCAAAAAGATATACGTAGGTAGAAATAAGAGTGGTCTGCTCCCAGGTTATAAATTAGAATCTCAGGCCAGGCGCGGTGGCTCACGCCTGTAATCCTAGCACGCTGGGAGGCCGAGGCGGGAGGATCGGCTCAAGGTCAGGAGTTCGAAACCAGCCTGAGCAAGAGTGAGACCCTCGTCTCTACTATAAATAGAAAGAAATTAATTGGCCAACTAATATATATATATAGAGAGAAAAAATTTAGCCAAGCGTGGTGGCGCATGCCTGTAATCCTGGCACTCTGGGAGGCCGAGGCGGGAGGATCACTCAAGGGCAGGAGTTCAAAACCAGCTTGAGCAAGAGCGAGACCCTGTCTTACTATAAATAGAAAGAAATTAATTGGCCAACTAGTATATAGAAAAAATTAGCCGGGAATGGTGGTGCATGCTTGTAGTCCCAGCTACTTGGGAGGCTGAGACAGGAGGATTGCTTGAGCCCAGGAGTTTGAGGTTGCTGTGAGCTAGGCTGATGCCACGGCACTCACTCTAGCCTGGGCGACAAAGTGAGACTCTGTCTCAAAAAAAAAAAAAAAAAAAAAAATTATAATCTCATCTGCCTAAAAGAGTCATTAGAGCTTCCAGAAAAGCACCACTGCTCAGATGTAGAAGAACACGGCTCCTTGTTCAGTGGCCAAGAGGATGGCACGGTGGCGGTGACTTTGGGCGGTAGGTAGGGAAACTCCTCGACCCATGAGTATGTGTGTAGAAGTGACTCGGAGGGAGCTTACACACCTGCTGAGCATTTGCTTGTAACAGGTTTCCCAGATGTCCCACCAACTCTGAAAACGTGGGTCTCTGGTCGGGGTCTCCATGCCAGCAGTCAAGCATCGTCTGGTACCTGGAGAAAGGAAACACGGATGTCACCAACGGCCTCCTTCCCCCTGGATCGGAGGCTGAAGACAAGCACTTGGGTAGGTAAGCATTTAGAGAGAGCCCACCGTGAGTCAAGAGGCAACACAGGGGGACAATACTTTCACGAGAGACAGAGCCCTACACTCGGAGGCTCAAGTGTGCACAGAAAAGAAAACGTCACAAATTCAGCACCTACTAACAACTAACTGGTTGGTATGGATACCAAAGCGCTGCCATTTTAAGATGGCAATGATTGCACTTGAGATGACTGGCAAGGACTGCATTTGAGATGATCAGGAAAGGCAGAAGTAGGACACGAATTGGGCCCCGAAGGACGTATATATATGTGGGAAAGTCTTCAGGCAGGGAGAACTTGCAAGCAGTGGACGAATACTTTCTAAAGTCTTACATTTCCGGTGTGGTGTAGTCAGGGGCCCTCATCCTAGTCCCTTCTTTCAATCGCCTACAAAATTCCTCGTCGATCTTTACCCCAGGATATGGAGAAGCACCTAGAATACAACAGGGAGAGGACATTCTTTGATTTGATTTTTTTCTTTTTTTTTTTATGGAAAGCCCTGAGTCTGATTCTTGCACAGCATCCTTCCCTATATATGCTTTTTGTCTCCTTTTAGGTTTTACAGTCCAAGACGTCCAAGAAGTTTCACCCGACGGAGGTGAAGTACAGGAGAGGAAAGGACATCAACTTTTATCGACATATTTGGAGTCTAGATGGAAGGACGAAAAGCAGTGACTTACCCAAGGAAAATATTTCCCAGAGCAAGACACCAAAAGACCACACGTCACTCTGAATTGTGTAGACTCTGTCAAAAATCGTCTCCGGGGCCATCCATTTCAAAGGGAGGCGAGCCTAAGAGGGTAAGAAGACAAGGAATGAGAATGTAGATTAGCAAAGATCTGGGGAAAAAAAAAAAAACTTCTTTTGTTCCAGAACACAGGTCCTGAAGTTTGCTATGAGGAGTTTGAATCCTGTAACTCGATAGATCCCTGGGTGCATCTTTGAAACTTACATCTCCTTTTCTGACATAATCCGGGTCCTTGTAAATATCCCGGGCCAAGCCAAAGTCACAGATTTTCACCACGTTCTTCTCCGACAAGAGGATATTTCGTGCCGCCAGGTCTCTGTGGATACACTGCAAAGAGAATCGTGTTAGGTCTCCGCACGGCTGATCTCTTTTACATCTGTTGTGACCTCATGCTTCAAAAAAAAAAAAAATCCCACATCAGAAAACCAACTGATTAACACGGACTGGGTGAGTATCTTTTATCAACACTTCAGGAAAAAAAAAAAACCTGTGAGCCTCGTGGAGACCCACATCTGCTTATCCCATCACCAGCCCGAGCCTTCGGAGTCAAATAATTAAGTTATAATACGATGCTGGAGTCATAAATAGACTTCTCTAGGACACAATTAAAAATGTGTTGCTGGTCACATCCACACATCCCTTTTGCCTGGCACCATGTATGGTTAAAGGTGTGTTATTCTAAGGAGGCCCCAGAATGGGATTTATTCGGAATGAATGCACGGAAATCAGAAGCAAGAGCTCTCCTTGGTCCGGTGCTCTTTGTCAGTTTCCCCATGCCGTCTGGAACTGAAGCCAGATCGGCTCTGCTAAACCCTTCCCACCAGTGGGGCCCACTCTGATTTCAAAGATCAGAGTGCTGGATCATCCTAAAGGCCTATTAAGGCAATTTCAGCCTATCACGAGCCGGATCAATTCTCCAGGGCACTAAAAAGTAAAAATGGAATTCAGCATGGCTTTTGCCTTCTATTCGTTTCAGCTTTTCACGTCTGCTTTGTGTCCTCTAACTTCATCTAACTTCCTACTGCCCCGCTGCTTTAGTTCCACATGATGAATTTGTGAGACGGTAAGAGTCTCAGGGAACATGACAAATGGAAGCCAAGACTTACACGAGGACTCTTAAGTCAAGCAGGAGTGATCGTGTGCGCTGGGCATACTGACCTCCCCACCACTCATATCTGTACACAGCACACTTTTCTGGACAAGGCATATCCAGAAGCATATTGTCCAAAAAAATAGACAGTATTTTCTACTGTCCCTCAAACTTGGGCTTTTTGAGCCCAAGAACTAAGCGCCCACCTCCATACTCATTCCCTTCCCAGTCGCCAAAGGGACCCTACCTAAATGGTGAGCTCTGGTCTTAAAATAATAATAATAATAATAATAAATCATAATCTCCGAGAAGGGCAAAGGGCTTTTCTCTTTGGAAATACCCTGCAAGAAGACCCCAGTTCCCCCCCTTCCCCTAAGACAACACAAGATCTTGAGACTCTGAAAGGCTGTGAGAAGCTTTAAACTTCAGGGGGGAAAAAGTGGGTTAGGGATTTCATCTAATTTAGAAAAAATAAACAATAACAACAACAACTTAAGTCTTTCTTTCCCCAGCAATATAAATGGTCAACTGATAGTTGTTGGTGGTTTTTTTTTTTCCTTTTATTTCATCATATTATGGAGGTACAAATATTGTTAGGGTTACAAATATTGCCCCTGTCCCCACCTCCCCCCAATATGTCCAATCCCCCGGCGGTGTGCACCACACACATTATAAAAGTATACACCCCTCTCCTCCTACCCCCTCCCATCTGCCCACCACCCGATAAAAAGTTTTTGGGTGGTTTTTTTTTACATTTTGGTGACATTGTATATCATTGGCTCTCCCTAAGAAAGGTTAAAGTTATGCACTTCCCCTCCAAAGTGCTCTCCACATCCCTAAGATTGAGTCCCCCCCAATCCCTGGTGGAGCACTGCACCATTGAAAACCATAGTTTTAATCAGGCAGTACCAATTTGATGGCGAGTAGATGTGGGGCCCATTTTCCATGTCTTGTGTCGCCTCACTTTGGATAACGGGCTTAAGCTTAATCCAGGATAGCATAAACGGTGCTAGCTCACCGTCATTTCTTAGGATTGAGTAATATTCCATTGTGAGCATACACCACATTTTAATTATCCACTCATGAATTGACGGGCACTTGGGTTGTTTCCATGACCCTGCATAGTGAATTGTGCTGCTATAAACATTCGGGTGCAGATGTCTTTATCATAGAATGTCTTAGGCTCTTTTGGGTAGATGCCCAACAATGCTATTGCAGGGGCGAATGGCATTTCTATTTCTAGCTGCTTGAGGTATCTCCAGATTCTTTTCCACAAACATTGTACTAATCTGCAGTCCCACCAGCAGTGTAGGAGTGTTTTGAACTGAACCTTAACTTGGAATTTTCTTGTTTGATGTCAGACTATGCGTTTTTTGCCTTTCCAGAGGGGTGACTGCCACCGACCCCGCTCCCTCTGTGCTTGTGTACAACCCACCTCTGGGATATTTGTCACTTGTCACGTCCCCACCTCCGCCTTTGTTTGGCCTACTTTTCTAATTTTAGCTCTCTTAATCGCTTTCATCTGAAGCCTGTCCTTCCTGGTTTCTAATTATACCACTAGCAAATACTTCTGATGGACGGTAATGAACGTAAAATAAATTAAAAATAGACTCTCTCCTGCTGAGATACCTGTGAGGTTCAATCCCTCTCCTCTTCTTTGGTCACTGCTCCAAAGTTTCTTAGGAAAGCCTTCCTCGCCCACTTGTTTTCAATTGCTGTACACACACACACACACACACACACACACACACACACACGTTTATCCCTCCGGTGTACTCGGTACCCATGTCCTGCTTAATTTTTCCCATAGCATTTACCCCCATCTAACTTCCGATGCATTTTACTTGTTTATATTGTTTATTGTTTGCTCCACCCTCTAAAATGTAAACTCCCTGCAGGTGGATGGCATTGCCTGTTTGTTGACTACAGTGTCCCAAGTGGTCGGAAAACCACCCAGCACTTCACAGGGGCTAGATAAGTATTTATTATACAGACTAGTTCCATGAGCTCTTCAGTCACCCTTACTTAGCAGAAACGGAGCCTCCCCACTGTAGGGCTCTTTTAAGAGTCCTGGAGGTGGTGAACGAGTTACAATCCCAAACAAACACCAATGGCTGCCACTAAATACCTTACGTCCACACCTGTGATCTCAAGAGAAACGGTCTTTCCCCATGCCCTGGCTTACCTTTCTCGAAGCCAAGAACTCCATGCCCTTAGCCACTTGGAAGCTGAAACAGATGAGATGCTCCAAGGTCAGGAAATCCTTATACAGATCTTCAGGAGCTGTCCAAAGAGGCAGGAGGATCGAGATTAGTGGGATCAGTGTTTCTACCCATTAGTGTGATTTGTTTCTAAGTTTGCTAGAGCAACGAGCTCTTCAAGACTTAGGGGTTCAATTTCAGGAAATAGAAGCAGAGAGTAAATGCCTCTAACTTCTGTAAATTGGCAGAATCTCAGTATTATTAGCCTTCATCATACCCCTTAGGGAAAATACTGGTTTTTCCATTTTAGCCAAATTGAACCAGTAAATCCAAGAGGTAGAATAGAGGTAAAATTGGCCTAGCTAACAAGGAAAGAAAGAGAACGTTTTCAAAATCGCTGTTTTAAACTGTTATTTTTTTGTCATGTGCTCAGAGGGATAAACAATAGTTTCATATCAAGAACTCCAAAAATAAAACAACAATATTCAGGGTCCTTGGATCTTTTCTCTCCGGGATTTGTCCCAGGACAAAGGCCAAAGGTCAAACTATAATCTACAACGGATAACTAAAAATATCCAAAACATATTTTCTTCTCTCACTCAAACTTAAAAAGTGCTTGTAAATACATTAAATCTTGCCTCCGAGAATGTTTTTTCCTTCAAGGATGTGAATGGGAGATAACAGGAACATGGAGAGAAAGATGAATTTACGTAAAGTGGTGGTATTTACTTCAGTGCAACTGGTACAAATAAACACCGAGACATTAATGGGTGTTTCAAAATGATCTCTTAACTTTGGTCAGATAAGATAAGACTTATGGCTTCTTTCCTGGAGCCAAAGACCAGGGTAAACAAAAACTTAGTTGTAATAATAACCTCATAAGTATTAAAAAGTCTGCGAGCCTTTGTCTCCACAAGTTGTTATGCTCAGGTTAAAGGGCTCTGAGTAAACAATTAGTGAAACCTCCACGTTTTTCAGAAGAAGAAATGGAGGCAAGATTCCAGGCCAATGCCCTTTCTGCTCCAACACACTACCTCAATCCCTTTGGTTTCCAGCTCACTGGCCACCATTTTTCGAGAGAGAAGGAGCAGGGCATGGACAGGGCCACTCAATGTGGGTCCAAATGCATAAGGCCTAGACCAGCCCCTCATGCACTTCTAGACCAAGTCCCAGCCTCACGCCCTATACTCAGCTTCTAAGAAAAAGAAGCTAATTGTAAGTTCTCCCTGTAACCCCAAGTCAAGGGAAATGAAGTAGGTTTCTTCTACTCTGTCCTGGTTGGATTCTTCTAGACTCACACCTCCAGAGCAGCCAGACTCTGGGAAGCCCCATCTCTATCTACACCCCTGGAACTGTCTCTGCTCCTTCCGAGAAGAGCAGACACACAGGGTGTCCTGGAGCTGCCTGAAGTCCTAGACATTAGACTCAGGCCACAGCACCACGGGCACTAAAATGTCATTGGGAACACAACTGGATAAAGATGAGCCAATGCACCAAGACTCCACTAAGGAAGTGTGGCTGGAAGGAAGGCTTGATAAGCCACTTGGGGTGGGGTAGAAACAGCAGGTGGCTCCCGCAGTGCCTTGGGGAAAGGTGGGTGTGATGACTTAGAGGCTGCTTGTGTGACAGTGAAGCGTGCAAAGTGGGCCGCGTCACTCAGGGCCCTGGCACTGCGCCTCTCCCACTAGCCATGCCGAACCGGTACGTTAAGCCTTTGCACTCGCTTGCTTTTTCCCTCGATTCCTTTATTCTACTCGAGATTTAATTTTTTTAAATACCCCAGATTTTACAAAAACTGGGGTTTCTTTGCATACAAACTTATTTATTTGGATTTCTTAATATTTCAAATTATTGATACATTCAAAGAGTCATTTTCATCTCTACAATTTTTCATGGCGTGAGCTGCCACCAATGCTGACCGTGTCGAGTCACACTCGACATCCGAGTGCAAAGGGTTAAGACTGTTGGCATGGTTGCTGCCAACCGCCTAGCTCCCCCTCCCCGGGGCCACCCCAGATCTCTCAGGCTACCACTGTCCTCCCTCCCAACCTCGCCCACTGCTCGCCCAGGGCTGCCACGCTCTACTTTTGGGGACCCTGGATGGAGGCAGGCTGGACATTCAGGTCTCTCCCCTATAGGGGCTGGCATGGGCCTTTTCCTGGGACCGATTCCTCGTGTCACCCTGTCTACCCCAACAAGAGCAATGGCGGTACCTTCCTCTTCCTCTACGTCGCTGAGGGATTTCTCCTCCACGAATCCGGAGCTGGCGGAGCTCTGGCTGCTGGTGATGCTGTCCAAGCGGCGCTTGGGGTCCACAGGGATTTCCCCGACGTAGTCCTTCCCCTGGCGGAACCGCGCCCCTTTGGACTATCAAGAAGCAAAGGGACAAACTCCTTGAATACAAAATGAAACGCAGTAAACCGTGGAAACAACCGAAACTATTAAAAAGCATACAGGGAAAAAAAAAAAAGCAAAAAAATAAAATAAAATAAAATAAAAACTAAAAAGCAGACAGGAAGGACATCCATTGCAAGGGCTTGGAGGCTCTGGGCTGAAATTTGGGGCATAGTATTTTTTTTTTTTTTTTTTTTTTTTGAGACAGAGTCTCACTTTGTTGCCCAGGCTAGAGTGAGTGCCGTGGCATCAGCCTAGCTCACAGCAACCTCAATCTCTGGGGCTCAGCGATCCTCCTGCCTCAGCCTCCCGAGTAGCTGGGACTACAGGCATGCACCACCATGCCCGGCTAATTTTTTGTATATATATTTTTTAGTTGGTCAATTAATTTATTTCTATTTTTGGCAGAGACGGGGTCTCGCTCAGGCTGGTTTCAAACTCCTGACCTTGAGCAATCCACCCGCCTCGGCCTCCCAAAGTGCTAGGATTATAGGCGTGAGCCACCTCGCCCGGCCCCATAGTATGTTTTGTACATAATAGGGTTTCTTCCATGACAACGAGCCCCTTCTTTGGCTTCAAGAGATAAATGTGTCATTTTGAGTCGCCCTCAGACACACTTCTAGCATCAGGGTGCTTTTCGCAGAGGGATTTACCCACCACGGGGCCGAATATGGCTAGGGGGTGGGGAGAGAGAATGATCTAGAGCCATCCTTCCCTCTGCCCTGCCCTGCCCTGGATTTCCCTGGATCGTACTTGCCTTTTCCCCAACTCCTGCACTCTATAATGTGGATAAAAGTCACAAAAGTAAAACACGACAAGCACACGTCCCCCAGAAAGTAAAAGAGGAAGTTACAACAGCCAAGAGGTACTCTGAGATTTCCCGCAAGTTCCTCCCCAAACTTCAACTAAAAAACTAACCTGGACCCACCCTTTGAGTTTTCCTTCATTTTACAACACAGCCCAAGTTGGGTGAGGAAACGGCATACCTTGTAGGGGACAAATTCATTTCTCTTGCTCCTTAAGTAAGAGGACAGGTTCCCAAACTTGCAGAATTCCACGATGACCATGAGTGGCCCTGCAGGCGGCGTAGCACGGCAAGAAAGGAAAATGTGTTTTCGTTCACGTTTCGCACCAAGTGCTAAATTTACTGACGAACCCCAAAACATGTTAGAAGGAGGATCCAGCCTTTTGCTGGGAAAGGATCATAAAAATCGGCTGGCCCCAATCCCCTTCTGTTGTAGCTTTTCTTTTTTTTTTTTTTTCCAAAAGGCAATTTTGCAACAAGATAAGCCAAAATTGCAGAAGAAAACCCATCTACAAGCTTCTCAGCGCTTGTCCCTTAAGAGGACTGCATTTTGGGGCAGACTGTTCTTAAGTCCTTTGCTTCTAAGTTTTTGGGGAAGTTTATTTTTCTCATCCGAGCATCTATCAGGCAGTGGCAAACTATATCGTAGTGGTGTGACACTTTTAAATTCAAGGGAAGTTTTAGAACAGTTTGACTACAATGCCCATGAAACCTCCATGAAATCTACTTATATCTAGGGATCTGCGAAGTATTCTAAGTCAAGCAAAGCAAGGCCTTGGGAGATAGGTGGTTTCTGTCAAACACTAGCAAAGAAGCGCGTGCCACAGTTAGGCCACCCAAACCGCCCGCGAGTCACTCACCCCCGGGCTTGGTGCAGGCACCCAGGAGGTTGACCACGTTGAGGTGGTGGCCGATGTGGATGAGGATCTTGAGTTCAGACATGAGGGCTCGGTGCTCGCTGTGTGTTGCTCCTTCTGCAGATACGGGGCAAAGGGGGAAGTCACCGGTGTGGCCATTACCTTAGCATGACCCACGCCCCTGTCTCCACTGCGTGCCGCTGTTCGGCTTACCCTTGAGGCTAATGCAAGCGTGGTGTAATTTACGGGCTAGTGCATTTCCTCAACGTCAAGTGTAAATCCTGTTTTCTAATTTCAAATAAAATTCATATTTTAAGCAAAGCCAGAGTGGTTGATATTGAAAGGAATCTGTTGTGAAGTCTCTTTTTTTTTTTTTTTGAGACAGAGTCTCACTGTGTTGTCCAGGCTAGAGTGAGTGCCATGGCGTCAGCCTAGCTCACAGCAACCTCAAAACTCCTGGGCTCAAGCGATCCTCCTGCCTCAGCCTCCCGAGTAGTTGGGACTACAGGCATGTACCACCATGCCTGGCTATTTTTTTTCTATATATTTTTAGTTGGCCAGTTAATTTCTTTCTATGTTTAGTAGAGACGGGTCTCGCTCTTGCTCAGGCTGGTTTCGAACTCCTGACCTTGAGTGATCCGCCCGTCTCAGCCTCCCAGAGTGCTGGGATTACAGGCGAGAGCCACCGTGCCCGGCCCATTGTGAAGTCTATTACAAAGTAGAGAATAATACATCTGCAATGGGATCATGCCCAGAATCTCTTCTTTTAGAAAACCGGGTTTTTATATTTCAGGGTTCCTATGCTTGTTAGGGTCTGATCATTTATTTCAGTGCTTCCTCCTAAGGAAGCAACGCCATGTATTAAATATCCTCGTGTTTCAGAGGCTACACTGAATGTTCCAGACGGTCTGTGCCAATCTGTTCAGGCAGCTGGCAAGGCCAGTTGGCACAGGAGGCTGATAGCACTGGGACTGTGTGTTTGATCCTGCACACTCGGCACCACTTCCCTCCGATTCACAGGCCTGGTCCACACCTCAAGCCCTGATGAGCCGCCTCCGATTTACACACTCCCTCGGCCGCACAGAGACAAGGCAAAAGGAGAGACGGCCTCAAAATGCACGAGACCTCTTGGCAACGGTTCAGTAGCTTTGTCTTCATCAATGAAAGCACGTCGCGATTGGAGCAAAGAGCTTCCATGCCTCACTTCCCAAGATTCAAACAGCCAGGCCAGAATCCCATTACTGTTAGGACTAATAATTGTTTTCATAAAGCTTTTCATTTTTGCAAAAACTCACCCGTAATCCTTTTTTCCTAGCGCAATCATTCTTTTTTTTTTTTTTTGAAAATTATCTTTTTATCTATGAAGATCCTTTTACATATTCCAATTCTAGAGAACATGCTGTTTTTGCATTCTATTTTCCTTTCCATGTTTCTAGATGGTCTATAATTATCTTACACCATAGTACACTAAGAGATCATTTTAGTATAACCACGGTACTTTGTTTCCTATGATCAGGACCGCTAAGCACAACTGTGTCAGCCGAACCTTGCACAAGGGCACTTAGGAAACGTAGGTGACACCTCTGTCGACCGTTGCCTGCCAGGCAGAGCACCCTGGCATGAGGCTACAACGGTGGATCCTCTATCCACTTTGCACACGGGGATCATGCAACCTGGCCACAGGCTTGGCGAGTGGCCCCACCCAAGGGGAGGGCCACTGATACAAGCCTTGCATCATGTTTAAAGACTGGATGAAACAGAGAGAGAGAGAGAGAGAGCTACATCACCATATAATGTTGCTTTTACCTTTCAACATTTTGACGGCCACTGTCTTGCAAGTTGCTGTCTTGTCAATTCCAAAGGCATCAGCTTCGATCACTTGGCCAAAGGCCCCACGGCCAAGAGGCTTGCCTGGAGTCCGCAATGATGGCAACAACAAAACAGACTTGGGTGATTACACCGTCAGAGTGATACGCAGAGATTCCAACTAGATGGGGTGGCCGCACCTCCCAGTTCAACATGGGCAGTCCACTTTGCTCTCCTGTCCCTGGCTTAATTATTTAACAATTTCCCCTTCGCACTCCGAATGTCCTGCTTTGTAGGACTATTCAGGGACCTGGCCTCTAAGTGGCTACGCGAATGATCGCCCACATTTAAGAGATGAAATTAGTATTTCTAAGCCAGAATCCAACATCTGCATAGACTAGGTTTGTCACCATCCTAACGTAAGAAGCAATGGCCTCGTAAACCCAATCAATCGAATTATTGATAGTGTCAATTGAAAGACGCACCCAGTTTCAGCCGGTCTCTGGGAAACTCCCATTTGGTGGCATCATAGGGCAGGCGTTCGCAGTGCTCGTCCAGGGGCAGTTCGTCTGGGTCCATGACGATGGACAAGTAGCCCGTCTTCAGTTCCCCTTCACTGGCCTGGAAAGGATCAATCTTTCCAGTCACATACACCCTGCGTCTGCCTGCTGTTTGTGTGCTTGTCATTGTTGTTCAGAGGAGCCTCATTCCTGACGTCTCATTTTCCAAAAAGACTCATGGAGTTCAAGAGCGGTCCTATTATCACCCCACTCCTAGTGTCCCTTCATCCCCCAGAGGAGCTCAGAGTTAAGCTTTTAAGTCTTAATTACACTGGACAGTCCCAGCCCTTTTCCCCTCTAGTGGCTTCTAGCAATTAAAGCCCTGAAGTCCGGCCAAAAGAAAGTGGGCAACAATGTTATTGTATTGAAATAAAAATGCCCCCATTGAGCCAGTAACAATGGGAAGAAACAACTCAAAGAACCCCAGTCAGCTTTCATTAATCATGAAGACCAACGTGCATGAGACAGAAGAGAAATTATTTTGTTACCCGCTTAACGGTCCGTAGGACGATGACAAGAAGGAGCCAGAAGAACATGGCGATCACCGCGGTGCCTACTAGAATGATTACTTCCAAGTTCGTCTTTTCCTGGGCACCTGGAAAGACACAAGCAAATGTGCATCAACAGCCGGAAATGTACATCTTTTGATATAAGATGGCAAAGTACCGCATTAAATCAAGATCGCTCGAAACCCTTAGAAAATTTGGAAAAACCCTAGATGACGATAGTCGCACACCCCTAGCTTGGATGGGGTCTACAGAATTCTTAATGGAAAATTTAAAACTTGCCAAACATTGCTCACAAAGACTTCCAACAACAAAGTTTTAAAGCAATTAAGGATATATAAGTATTGATGTCTTAAAAGACGAATATAGAAAGTGTTTAGAGAAAGAACAATCTTCCATGGGAAGAAAACAGATCATGTTCTACAGAGCAGAAAGTGCTTCTATTTGAGGAAAATAAACACCTGGTTTTTACACTGATAGTCAATGTTTTGAACTATACAGAGTTTGTAAAAGGGTCGTACAAGAAATGAAGCAGGGCAATGAATGAAGTCCTTTAACCAGAGAGCTACTGATGCCTATATACCTACTATGCATCCATCTCTTTAAATATACCTTCCCACTTAACCTTCTCAACCTTTAGTATTTTAGATGAAGAAACAGAAGATCAGAGAGGTTAAGCTACATGATGCAGGACACACAGCTAGTCGGTGGTCCAGGAGGTTTTCCACTAACAGTGATTAGCGAAGAGGTGATAAGGAAGCAGTCACCACTCGGGGGTCTCCCATCAGAAGATCGCAGGGCGGATCAAATCGGCCCCAAGCTGTGAGAATGCCCCCCGCCCAGCTTCCAGAGGGCAGAAGATAAGTAATAAATGAGTTAGCAAAATCAGAGTTAACCATTGAGAGCCAAACACCAAGTACGCTTGGAGTGGATTTTGTTTCTCTGGTGGTTTCTTCTAGCAAAGAAATTTAGAAATTTACACATAGAGATTTAAAAGTCCATTTCTACATTAGAGAGTACAAAGTTCGAAGAGTCCATTTTCTATGTAAGTTTGCGTACAAACATTTTCATATGACATTTGGGGACCTAGTGAGCGTCTTCCTTTCTTAGTACTCTCTCCGGGAAAGAAGTGACTACAATGTCTTTGCCAATGTTCTCTAGTTAGGCATCTGTAACCGGCTGCAGACAGCAACCAGGTGAGGCAAAGAACCAGGGAGAATCTAGACATCCCCCCAAAGGATTTACCCTAAAACACGAATCACTTTGGAAATGACAAAACCGCCATGCCCTTTGAAATCTTTATTTGCAAGTGCAGTTTATGATAGGGCCATAAGCCTACCGATTTGAAAACACATCAACATTATCTAGATGCAGTACGTGCCAACATAGATGTGGCAGCTTAAAGGGACCAGAATCTAGACTTCGAGAGACAAGTTCGGATGAGCTCATAGAAATCCATCAATTCTCCCTTCCATCACCCTCCCTCCCTCTCCCCATTGCATACCATTCCTTCTCCCACACAATACCGTGGTATTGTTCTCCTGGCGGGTTATAAAAAACGCAAGTAGGAACACACTTCTTAAGATAAAATAGTCTGTCCCAAATTACTTTTCCTATCTGAGAAAATGCCAGATTTCACATCACTCCTGCACACACTCACACACACACACACACACACACACACAGGTTTCCTTTCATATTTAGATAAGAAACAAGCATTTTCGATTTCAGAAAAGCAATGGTCTGTTGTTCACAAGTGAATTTTTCATTATCTTTGGTCCAGTGAAAACTCCGAACCCTTGTGACTGTCGGATAGCATCTGCCTTCAGGACAAGGCAGGGATTCTAATATTTTTCCAAATAAATATACAGGTATCATTTCTATAAGTTCATGGAGCCATGCAAACAAAGAATCAGGGAGAGGAGTTACATTCATCTTGCCTGGCTAAGAATGTTTCCATAATGACAACTATAAGGATAGGAAACGTGATCGAAGCAGAATGAAAACAACATTAATTACGGTTTCTGGTTAAAAGAATACACACTTACTGCAGAAAATTTACAAAGTATAAAGAACATTAAAAATCACCTCTAGTCGTCCCACCCAAAGGGTATGGGTATACGTAAGGCACAAACTAATCACAGGCACAATGTGCCTATGATTTCCAACTGACCTTCTATTATGAAAAATGCTTCCACTTTTGCACATCCCAGAACACTGCAGGCCTGGCAGGTATAGAGGCCTTCATCCTCCTTCCTCACTCTGCGGATAGTAAGGTTTCGGTTCCCGTCTTTCAATACAATGCCTGAGACAGGAGGAAAATGATCATTCTTTTTTTTCTTTTTCTTTTTTCTTTTTTTTTGGAGCTTTATTTATTTATTTATTTGCTGTCTCTGAAGCAGCTGACCTTTTTTTTTTTTAAGTGTATTATGGGGGTACAAGTGTTAAGGTTACATATATTGCCCATGCCCCCCTCCCCCCTCGAGTAAGAGCTTCAAGCGTGTCTCTGTGGAGTTCTCCAAAGAAAAGTTTTAAAACCTAAATGTTCCCCTTCATTTGAGACTACTATTTAACTTTGAAGAGTTACATAGATCTACTGCTGACTGATCTCCCATGAGGCTTCTATAAGAAGTCAACAAGACTCCAAATATTCTGAATCCGAGTCTATGAAATGAGCCAGATCATATACACTAATACTGCTTTTCTTTTTTAACCTTAAAGCAAATCAAGAAATGATATGGGTTTTAGGTAACATGCCCTGGGAAAATTCTGCAACCAAAGAGAGATAAACAAGTTCTACTTACCGGAGTCTTCCACGAGGGTCTCGTTATCTTTAAACCAGGTAATCTGTGGAGGGGGGTTCCCAGACGCCGAGCACGAAACCTCGATGGTTTCACCGATATTTGTCGTCTGATTTTCTAGGTTTCCTGTGATCATGGGCGCCGCGCGCTCTAGGAACATAAAAAAGAAAATGATGGAACATACAGTTATAATGTGGAATGATTTTCATATCAAGAAGTTGTTTAAACAGTTTAAACCAGGGGTCCTCAAACTTTTTAAACAGGGGGCCAGTTCACTGTCCCTCAGACCGTTGGAGGGCTGGATTATAGTTTAAAAAAAAACTATGAACAAATTCCTATGCACACTGCACGTATCTTATTTTGAAGTAAAAAAACAAATGGGCAAAGACACCCGCATGTGGCCCGCGGGCCGTAGTTTGAGGATGCCTGGTTTAAACTTAGTGAACAGCAACCTGTTGATTTACTAAGCTGAAAATACACAGAGGTTGATGACAGCTCCACTGGTCACTGGGAAAAGTTAAATGAAACAAGTCAGAACGGTTGAGAGAGATTACTGCGTGTCTGTGAACATTCATAGTAGTGATTCTAGCTGGTAATCACACCACAAAATAAAGGTTCAAGGTCACCTTTCTGGATTTTCCCTAATCAGACATGGCTTCCCCAGGGGGAAACTCTCTCCCATCAAAGTGCTAACCAAGAATAGCCTAGAACTCTGCCATGTTTTTCTTGGCAAGCACCAAACGTCAGTGTAATTCAACAAAGAATACCATGTATTTGCTTGGCAATTTTTACAAAATTCATTTGTACAATTTTTTGTTCTTCAGTATCAATCTTATGTAACAGGCAGGAACAGGACCATGGGCATCATTTTACAGGTGAAATAACTGCAGTTCAGGAAGGGTTAAACAATTTGCCCAAGTCCCTATAAGTAAACAGTTTTGACTGTTTGCTGAATCCAAAAGACTAGTCCAGTGTGATTTCCACTAAAATAAAACAACCCAAAACCATCACCCTAAGGAAAGTCATGGATTTAATGAAAATGAAGCCCATGAGTATTTGTTTAAACTTTAGATTTACCCTTTCCCCAAATCACCAAAGTGCTGTGGAAGTATCATGCCAAATCAACTGAACATCCAAAGGGATCATGCTGAAGAAATTCACTTTAACGCTGTAGCGAAATGAGATGACCTCAATAGTGTGCTACCTTATGGTTTAAGCAAATGTACTGGACTCTAGCCTATTTCTAAGAGTAGATTTTAGGAAAGAAGTTAAGAGTCCTTACGGAAGTAAACCAGCTGACTGTAAGCACGTATTTCCTGGGCATGGCAAGACTGGGAGTCCCCCTCACAATCTCTTTCTGAATTCTTCATTGCTTTGAAACCAGACCAGCCACCAACGGCAATACAAAGTACATGGTCATATGTGGTGTGACATGAAGGGTTCTGGGGCTGATTTAACCTCAAAGTATTCCTTCCTCTGACTCTGAGTCTTAAAGCTAGCAAACCTTATGCTAGCATGTGTCTGAGGATAGCTTGTAAAATATGCCAAGGTCTCTGAGGAAGATGTTCTTCCCCTAAAAGTTTGGTATAGATAACTTTACCTGGGTAGTTTCCCTTTCCTAACAGTTAAAAATAGAGGACACATACATACTGTGTTTCCCCGAAAATGAGACGTACCCACAAAATAAGCCCTAGCAGGATGTCTAAGCAGTGTGCGGCTATAGAAGCCCTACCCGAAAATGCCGCCCTAGTGATGGGCGTGGCTATGAAAATCAGCCTGGGTGGGTGTGGCTATGAAAATCAGCCTTGGTGATGGCGTGACTATGAAAATCAGCCCTGGTGATGGGCGTGGCCGTGCAAATCAGCCCTAGTGGTGGGCGTGGCTGCGCAGCCGCATCTGCACAACCCATGCATGTCATCGCAGAGCGAGAAAGAACACAGGCAGCCTTCGCATCTGCCCCGTGAGAGCTCTAGTGCTCCACATGAGAGATCGGGCCAGTGGTTCTAAGGAAATAGAGTCGCAACAAATGCAGGATGGGATTCGGGATCTGGAGAGTGAGGATGATGTTTCAGAAGAAGACGACTTAATTCTATATGAATCAATGTAGATGGTTGTACCGTACTTAAAAAAAAATAACACATCCCCTGAAAATAAGCCCGAGGGTGTCTTCTTGAGGAAAAATAAATATAAGACCCTGTCTTATTTTTGGGGAAACATGGAGCATCGTAGGAAATGGGAAGGGACACTAAAAGGAGAAGAAAATGGAGAGAGATGGCACAAAGAGAAACTCCCTAATTTGCCTGACTGCCCAGAAGACGGAGCTATAGCTGTCCGGTCTTAGCACAAGGCACAAGGTTGGACAAATTGTAGAGAGAGGCTCCAAGGGGAATTCACAAAGCTATGTGCTCACTGAAATTATCATCCCATTGACCTTGAGCTATAGTTGACCTCATGGAATGACCCAGAGGTATAGGCAGTGGGTGTAGTTCCCTTCCCACGACTCTTCTAGGTCCTAAGCTCAGCCCATCATCCCACTCAGCCCATCCCATCCCATCCCACACAGTAGGTAGTACACACTGCCCTAGTATATGCCACCATGTTCCATGATTAGAGCTACAGCAGGGAGCAAAACAGAGACCAACCCCTCTCCTCGTGGACACAGAGACCTCACTGTGCTCTGACTGCCCAGTGGTTGCCTATGCTCTCATCCTGCCCATCTTGTTCAGCACTGTGGACTTCTGGAACTCTCCTAGTTCATAGTAGGCATTCCACAAATATATATCTATTTAAATAAATGAATGCCCAAGAACAAGGCAGAAACTTCTCAGTTTCAACCTAATACCTTGCATATATCTTGCATGTACTTGAGTTACCCCATCATCAGGGTTAAAAGGAACCAAGTTATCTTCTTTTTTTCATATATCATTTCACCTTTATTAGCTTTTTTCTGCCTCAAGGACTTTCAGTGAATAAGATAAGTGTGTTTCAGTCTACTTCATAAGCTCCTAGAGGGTGGTAATTTTTGCACGACACCTGAAAGCAATACGTCCAAAGCATTCCAAGTGCCTCGGGACAACGCTCAGGAGTTGCCTCCCTACCTAGGACTGTGAGCTGCCTGACCACACAGTGTCTTCTCTTGGTCTTCCTGTCTTGAGCAAAGCAGACGTAGTCTCCCTGGTCCTGCAAGGATGCATTCTGGAGCTCCATGACCAAAATGTCATTTGTGCTGTTAGAGATCATGGTGGCATTCAGTTTCCAAAGAGTATCCAGGTTCTTGCAAAGAGGCGTGGGCAGCTCTCCCACGTGGATCGGCAGAGCCTGCTGCCGGCCAACCTTGTACCACGTAAGGTTCTCGAATGTCATCCTGTCCGCACTGCACCACAAAGACACGCTCTCCTGCTCGGACGGCTGGGTGCCAGGTTGCAAAGTAACTTCAGGACCCCCTGAAATGCAAAGCCCACAGTTAGAGGATAGTGATTAAACTTGGTGCAGCCCAGTATCATTTTCTCATTGCCTTCAGACTGCTAGAAAGTACCAAAAGAAGTGAAGTTCTAGCACTGTCAGACAATGATAAGAAGATAACCGAACTAGATGATCCAGGTCCCCCAAAATGTATTATTTGACCAAAGTATAAATGAATTCCCTAGATATTTATCATATCTCCACTGTGAGCTCTAAACACAGTGTTGGGGACAAGGGAAAAAAAATTATCCAAAGCAGAGTATCTAATCATAATATAGAATTTTTAAAAACTTAGTCCCTCATTAATACATAACACTCAACACCATGAAAGCTACATTTATTCCAACCAATTAGCCCAGACTAAAATATTTTACTCAGTATAGTTGGCTAAGCTTATCCCTAAAATTAAAATGCATAAGCAAGATCAACAGCTCTGGCAGGGCGCTGCGTCTGGGCCACTCCGTCTGCCTCCAGAAATGCCAACTCACCAAGCAGCCAGGTCACCCATATCTACGGAAGCTCAATGCACCGTGCCAGACGCTGACGCCAAGACCCGAACAGTGACACACGACTTGGTTAAGGGCACACTGTGACGACCATTCTCTTCTCCACGACAACCAATCAAAGTTTAATCATGAACATTTACTCCATGGAAAGAAAGCACCAATTATCACCCAATTTCTCTTCCCAACGCCATGCTGTCCTTGAGTGGCAAGGACGCACGAGAGTCCCACCGCTTACGACCCACTGTTTGAGCATCCAACCAGCCCTCAGAGACGTGCACTCACTGGTCACGTGGAAGGGATGACCTCTCTCCTTCTCCCAGTTTGGTCCGCTTCGCATTTGTACAGAGCTGACACGTTTGCCGCTTGGATGAAAGGGTACTCACAGTCTGCGGAAAGAACATGTCCCCAAATGTTTGGGATTTGGGTTTTTGGTTTATTATTTTTTTTTTTCAGATTTTGGAATATTTTGCCTTACACCTTACAGTGGCATCCCTAATGCAAAATTTGTAATGCTCCAGCGAGCATTTCCTTTGAGCGAAGCATCTGTTGGCACTCAAAAAGTTTTTGCATTTTGGAACATTTCCGGATTTCAGGTTAGGGATTGTCAATCTGTGTAATGAATTGCTGCTGTGTATAGTCAACATTATACAAAAAGAAACTTTGGAGACATGGAATTAATGATTCTTTAAATATAATGATATACATTCTTCTCCTTCTCATGTTATAAAATCAGAATCACTTTACACAGATGTATGATAAATGGCATGGATATTTACATTTTTCTGATAATACTAACAAAAAATTAATGTACTGAGCTAAAAGTCATGTTGTTTTCAAACTGACTTAAATGCTAGAATTTAATTATCCAGAGTCTTTGGATAATTTTTTTTTTGAGAAGAGTCTCACTCTGTTGCCCAGGCCTAAGTGCCGTGCGTCAGCCTAGCTCACAGCAACCTCCAACCCTAGGTTCAACGTGATGCCTCCTGTCTCAGCCTCCTGAGTAGCCGGGACTACAGGCATTGGCGCCACTATGCCGGCTAATTTTTTTTTTCTATAGTATTTATTTGCCCATTAATTCTTTCTATTTTAGTAGAGACGGGTACGCTCTTGCTCAGGCTGTTTCGAACTCCTGACCCTCGAGCGATCCGCCGGCCTAAGCTCGCCGAGTGTTAGGATTATTAGCGTGAGCCACCACCTGGCCCAGAGTCTCTGATTCTTTAATTTCCAAATAATGCCATCACATATGATTGCTACCACCATCCTTCCACGAAAGAGACAGAGACATTTTCAGACTAAAAAACTTCGGACTCACTTTGTTTCTCCCTTCGATTAGGGCAAATTGATTTTTGTTGACCTCGATTTTATTCCCTCCCTGAAAGTCCTCCACGCTTCTCCATTCTTTACAAGCATATGGGTTTGTCACTGAGATGCCCCGGCTGTAAGAAACACATACAGATCATGTTACAATTCAGTTTTTTCTTTCATTCGAATCAATAGAAAGGAAAAGAGTCAGACTTTGGTTCTGTTCTTAGAAATAACTTTCAGTGTAGCCCTGCCACGTTTTACCAGACTTGGCACCAAATAAAAATAGGCCCTGGCCATGAAGGAAAAGGTTCCAGGTAGATTGATTCAGGATACAGGGGGGAAGCCGCTATTCTGGGAACAAACATTCATTCATAAAATTGGATCGACAGGACAATTCAAGTTAAATGAGTTCAAAGGAAACAAGGAAACTTAGAAGCCATCGGGCTTCTTAAAGTCATTTCTCTGGGACCACGCATGGCCTCTGCAAAGGAAATGGCCTGCAACTGAGAAAGAAACTAGTCGTGGCCACTTTGAAAACAACAACAGGAAGGGGACTGCTTAGGGTGGTGGCAGGTTGGCTGTCGTTGTTGTTTTGCTTTTCCCTGAGGATGTCTGGACTTTTGTCGGGACGTGATAAGCTGGGACTGGGACGAGGAGGGCTGGGGCTGGGGCTGTCACCGATTCACACCCATCAGCATTTCCTCCAAGAGATAGACCTTCTCCCGGACAAGAAGCAGCCCGTTGATGGGCACAAGGAGAAAAATCAGAGAGAGGCACGTGGCCAACTGAGCAAATCAGCCTGCACTGGGAGACTTGTGTATATAAGGGCTACCCCAAGAAAAGAAAGCTAGCTAATCCCAGAGTGGGATACCCTAAGCAAAGACAGCCCCTAAAATTGAAGACACAGAGAAGGAAGGAAGGAAATGTAGAGTACCGCTTGAGGGGAAACTTTCATAGGGCCAGCCTTGTAGGTTTAGGGTGGAGGCATTTGCACAGCTTGGCTACACGAAATGCAAAACAGCAGCAGGACGGGGAGAGCGCCTGGCCCTGCTCACCTGGGCTTGTTGGGACACTCTTCCTCCAACTGCCAGTACCAGTGGACGTGGTGCGGGGGAGGAACCGCGTAGACCGTGCACGTCAGTGTCTGGGTGGTGCCATACTGGTAGGAATCCACCGGAGAGATCAGAGACTTCTCGCCGATCTGGGGTGGGACTGAACATGGGAAAAACCACGGTGGAATTACCCATCAGCTTTGCAGAATAAGAAGTAGAGGATTTCAGCAACTAAAGCTGACATTTTGTTAAAGCACATGATTTTGCCCCCACTTTCTTTTGCAAAGAACATCTAGCCTCGGAAACAGACCTGAATCCTAGTGATACTCATAAAATTCACAGTAAGCTAATCATAATAATAAACTAGTAAGCTGAGTGACTTCAGGCAAGTCTTACAACGCTGTGCCTCAGTTTTTCTTTTCTGCATGACAAGAGACAGTTCTCTCTGTCCTCTGAGTCTTGCAAGAGCAGGGTGAGACTGCAGAAAGAAAGTAGCTGGAATGGGATAAACACGCTTATTACATGCCAAGTGCTTTGGCATTAAGTCACTTAATCCTCACAACCACCATCATTGGTATCATGACACAAATAGCAAAATGAAACATAGAAAAGTTAAATGACTTGCCCAAGGTCACCCAGTTAGTAAGTGGCAAAACCTGGAACAAATGAGACACTCCGACTTCTGACATGAAGCACTTAACCACTCACTATAAAGGAAGGTGTCAATCTTTGCAGACGCATCCTGCCCTGCCACCAGCTGAGCTTTTCAGTCCCTCCCCCTCCCCCAACTCTCTTCCTTCCTCCCTTCCTTCCCACTTCTCTCTCCTTTTTCTTTCTTTCTTTTCTGGCTCCCAAAGGCATTAGCACAAAACTATTTCCTTATCACTGTCAACCTAAAGCCTCATATTATATTTGCAAAACTTGACCTGCTTTTGCTGTTTATTTCATAGAGCAAGGAAAGTGCTAGAGTGAATCAAATGTTTGCTAACTTCACGAATCGATGCAATGGGGTTAGTCACTGTCTATTTTTCTCTCTTTATTTCGTGTTCGTTTCTTTCTCCATCTACCGTACATGATCTCGGTTTCTCCTCCCCATCCGCCACATGCTGCTTCTAAGCAACCTTCCTGGAGCCTGTTATCTTTAAAATACTCCCTGAAAAGGGACATGAAGCCAAGCTCGGCAGACATACAGAGGAGTATCAGGACACATGGGGAAGCACCTTGATGTCATGATAGGACCACCCTGAAGTTTATTTTTTTTTTGAGATAGAGTCTCACTCTGTTGCCCAGGCTAGAGTGCCATGGCGTCACTCTAGCTCACAGCAACCTCCAACTCCTGAGCTCAAGAGATCCTCCTGCCTCAGTCTCCCGAGTAACTGGGACTACAGGCATGCACCACCATGCCTGGCTAATTTTTTCTATATATTTTTAGTTGCGCATTAATTTCTTTCTATTTTTAGTAGAGACAGGGTCTCACTCTTGCTCAGGCTGGTTTCGAACTCCTGACCTTGAGCAGTCCACCCAACTAGGTTTCCCAGAGTGCTAGGATTACAGGCATGAGCCACGATGCGCGGCCCGCCCTTAAGTTTTAATACACCATGCCAGTAGGGAGAACCAAGAACGACAACAGAGAAGCATTTCTCAAACTGGAGCAAGATACGAATGGATTTACCCTGGGAAAAAGCACTCTGGTCAAATAAATTTGTTAACTCTTGGTATGTCTGCACTCTCCCCCTGAGGAATGGCAATATACGTTAGCATGTTAAAGGCCCTGAGAAGTCCTGCAATAAAGAAACCTGGTTTGTACCACCTTAGCACCTCCCACACTCACTTGACCACCACCCTTCTTCCCCCCAGCCCCAAACATTTGTTTGTATCTTTCCGCTTGAGAAAACAGAAGTCTAAATCATCCTCAAATCAAAAACTTACTATCTTCCCTTTACAGATTCAGATGCTAGACTCCTATCAAAAAAAAAAAAAAAAAAAGGATTCCAACCAAGACGATGGGTGTCAACTTCAAAAGGCTTCAGAGCTGAAATGCACCAGCGAGTCCCTGACACATCCACTACAGCATGGAGCTGGAAGCTCCACACCAAGTCCAGGGAGAAGAGTTTCGCACATCTGTGCGCCAGGTGTGCGCCCCAGGGGAGAGGAACAGCAGTCACGTAGCGTGGGCCTGACAACTGTCGCTGCCGGCATTGCTAGTTCGCAGCGTTTGCCCATCGACTGCACCATGCATGCTAATCTCGCATTTGACCCCATATGGCGCGTCTACACGGCCTCATAAGCACACGCCGCTAGACCACACCGCCTCCCGTTGCATTTTGGCCTCAGCACCCTTTATATGCACAGCCCAGCCGTGATGTGGGGGACCCAGCGGGAGACAAAGGGAGGTGGCTTGTCTGTTTAGGGACACAGAACCGCACGCACCCTTGGTCACAAATCTTGGCCAGAGAAGAAAACCGAACGAACTCACCATTCACAAGCAGAGACACCACGTGGCTCTGCTTCTCCTTTGAAATGGGGTTGGTGAGGACGACGGTGTAATTGCCCGTGTCTTTTTCACTCACTTCCAGAATGGTCAGCACGTGCCCCACTCTGATCGTGTGATTGGACTCGATGGGTCTTCCGTTTTTATACCTACGGAAAGAAAAGCCCTCTGGAATTAGGATGATCCGAGGGTTTGCTCTCATGGGAAAACGAAGCTTGGCGTCCACTCCCGGCAGTGAGTTACCATTTGATGTCAGGGGCCGGGTAGCCCAGGTACTTCACGGGGACTCGGACACGCTCCCCCACCGTGGCTTCCACCAAGGATTCCATGCCACTCCCAAAAGCAACAAAAGGTTTTTCTGCAAGAAAATGAAAATAATTTATTCTCCCAAGTGTCAGCTTCCTGCAGTCGTTTGGTTTCGTTTTCCATTTCAAGGGAAAAGTCAGAGACCCCTGGGGGTCTGAGTAGCTACGGTTCTGAGATCGTCTACACTACCTTCCCATGGGTCACGTTCTGGCTTCTCTCACACCTATAGTCTTTGTGTTTGCTTTTCTCTGGCCCCTGGTGTGCTCCCACAAGCCTACTGATTGCTCGAGTCTCGGTTCAGGCATGTGCTCCTCTGCACAGCTTTCTCTAAGCCCCACAGAGACCCCTTCTTCTCTGTTCCTACAACACCCTCTACACACACGCCATGTGTGGATGCCACCGGTCCTGAGACCTCTTCTCTTTATCTACACCTTCCTCTAGTCTCAGATAGAAAGCATCATTGACACACCTCCTAAAGTTTTATCTCCTGCCTTGACTTCTTCTCTGGGTTCCAGGCTTATGGATTAAATATCTCCACTAAGATGCTTAATGGGCATCCCCAAATGAACATGCCCAATGCTGTTTCCCAAATCTCACTCCCGTCTCGAACTTCCCTCTCTTAGTAAACAGCAGTCCCATCTACTCGGCTGCTCACGCTACAACTCTACAGTCATCTCCCACTCTTCTCCTTAACACCCCACAGCCAATGAATCCATTGTCACCCATCTGTCAGCAGATCCTGTTGACCCTTCCTTCAAAACTTATCCAGAACCTGGATCCCTTCTTACCACCTCCAACCTTGGCCTCCATTCCTTGGCCAAGCCACCCCCCATCTCTTGCCTGGATTATTGCAATGAGCCTCTAACTGCCTCCCTTACTTCTGCTTTCCATCCTAAAGATTTTTGTATAACAGAATAATCCTATAAAAGCATAAGTTAGAGTGCATCTCTCTCTGCTCAAAACCCTCTGATGCATTCCCATATTATAAAGTCCGAACTCTGCACCAAGGCTTGTAAGTAGGGTGCCATATAAATATTATCATCTAAACAGACATTTGTGGGAGTGGAAGGGAGTAAATTAAAATTAGGTGATTTATGCAAAGCCCCACAAGAAGCATTGAACCCCAATTCGATTACAGTCGACCTTGAACAAGACAGATTTGAACCGAGCGGTCCACTATAGCAGATTTTCTTCTGCCTCTCCCACCTTGAGACAGCAAGACCACCCTCTCTTACAGCCCTGCTCAGCACTCGATGTGAAGATGACAAGGACGAGACCTCCATGGTTGACTCACTTCTACTTAATGAATACAAATCGATGTCTCTCCTTAAGATTTTTCTTAATAACATTTTCTTTCTCTGGCTTACTTTACTGTAAGAATACAATCAAAGAATACATAGGATACAAAATGCATGTCCATTACTGATTGGGATGGGCAAGGCTTCTGGTCAGGCTATAGTAGTTAAGTTTCAGCGAGTCAAGAGTTAGATTTTTGACTTTGTGGGGGTTCAGTTCAATGCTCTTAACCCCTGTGCTGTTCAGGTGTCTGCGGGACATTGCCAAATGTTTCCTCAATTTACAAAGCTGTTGCTTTTTCGAGGAGGCCTCTCTGCCTTGCAATGAAATGAAATTTTAAAATAGACCTTAGATGATAGCAGTCTGCTTATTATAGGAATAATTACAAACAGCGCAACACCAGTAACAAGCAACATTTTAGTGAGCATTATTATGTCCGCGTATCTCATCTTGAAAGCTGAGATTTGAACCCGGGTCCCTGACCGCAGAGTTATGCTCTTAACCTCTAGGTCATGGGGCCTCCCCGGCAAGAACTCAAAAGTATCTTATGGGCCGGGCGCGGTGGCTCACGCCTGTAATGCTAGCACTCTGGAGGCGAGGCGGGCGGATTGCTTGAGGTCAGGAGTTCAAAACCAGCCTGAGCAAGGCGAGACCATCTCTACTATAAATAGTAAGAAATAATTGGCCAACTAACATATATAGAAAAATTAGCCGGAATGGGTGGCGCATGCCTGTAGTCCCAGCTACTTCGGAGGCTGAGGCAGGAGGATCGCTTGAGCCCAGAATTTTGAGTTGCTGTGAGCGAGCTGACCACGGCACTCACTCTAGCCTGGGCAACAAGCGAGACTCTGTCTCAAAAAAAAAAAAAAAATCTTATGAATGAACAAAGTAAGAATCACTAAGGGATCTGAATTTATTTAAATGATCTCACCCATCAAGGCACGGAATAATTTCCGAGGAGACCTCGGCTTACCGTGGACTCGGACAAAGGTGCTGTTGCGCTTGGTCATCAGCCCGCTGGAGGCCACACAGGTGTACCAGCCTTGGTTACTGCGCGTGACACCATCTATCGTCAAGGTGCTCAAAAATTTCTTCACCTCACTCTCAGACGGGCTTTTTAGCTCCCGATTTGTAAATTTCTTGTGTTGATCCTGAAAACAAGAGTTTCCTGAACGTCCAGAGCCCCCAGACTGGGTGACATCACCCAATATCTTCCAGCTACCCCGCCCCCCAAATTAAGACTTGGCCCTTGGGGAACATTATTTATCCCTATAATAGGGACTCCGGAACTTCTAACAGCATGCAGGCAACAAATACATTTGGCTTCGGGAGAAATAAATGGAAGCAGCGGGATGAGGATTTTCAAAACCTCGCAAGGTGAGCATGAGACGCATACAAACTGCAGCGACATAAGCAAACGGGACCGCCCTTTAAGGAAAATATATGTCATCTCGTGCCACCTCTGAAGGAGAAATTCCCTTAAAGGGAAAATAGATCAAGCACTTTGGAGAACAGAAAAATAACATAACATGGAAAGATGCAATCACCAGGAGAAAACTAATATTCACAGCCTGATTGTAGCAGAATGGACATAGTTCCTGGCTTTTCATCTCTCTGTGAGTGCTGTGTGCTTTGCAATGCTCTTAAAATATGTGTGTGTGCACACGTGTGTGTGTGTGTGTGTGTGTGTTTCAGACTGTATATATTTTAGCCGCCAGAAAAGTCCCTATCTCTCCAGCAACCTCCTTTGGGGCCTTATTATAGTCAAGTATTTGGAAGTCTGGCTTTGATGTTAGTGTCACCTTCAAAGAGTGGTGTTCCAGATGAATTCAACCCTGGCGTTTAGTTCAGTTCTTGCTGTGCAATTTAAGACAGCTCTCTCCGACAGAGAGCTCAACTTCGTGAGCCGGGCTCAGAAGGACAATCATAAATTCCTATACCCTGGAGCAAGTCAATTGGAAAAAAAAAAACAAAAAAAATAGATATAGTGAGAGGGGAAAACCAACCTTATACTTGTCACAAATGATTTTAAAAGTGAAGCCGTTTAACAACCTGCTGCACATCCTTTTTCCCTAAGGCTTTCATCACTACTTGGTAGCTCCTAGGAAAATGGCTACAGAAAATTTACAAAGCACTGGTTTGTTCAGGGGATTCAAAAATGTTGAGCCATTGGATCGAAAAAGAGTAAAATTTCAGTGGTTTGGAGCCTAGGCCAATGGGTCAGCTTGGCCAATGCTTAACACTTTTTTTTTTTTTCCATAAATAAGTGTGATAAAAGAATTTGATAGTAACAGTGCTCTGAACATTGAATTTTTCATAAAATTGCTCTCCAATACAATTTTTAATCTTGGGGTCTAGCAAGAAAGGAGACAATTTCGGATTAGCGCATGGTTTTACTTGGCAGAGAAGACTCAATGCGTAATGATGACTCCCTTTGTTTAGAATCAATAATTGAAGGTGGAGTCATTTTTTTCATAATTATTGATAATGCATTATTGGAAATGCACCGCTCTGTAGTGCATGGATAATTCTTAGCCACTTAAGCCCTCATGGAACCCTTTCATTATAATACTTTATGAGGTAGTATGAAAGAATCCAAAATATCAGCCCGACACCGCTCTATATATTAGTTAGCCACATTTATGTCTTCTTGAATTTGACTCTGTATTTTTGATGTCTGCTCTTCATCAATACCTGTTAATTGTCTTTCCAGGAAAGCTTTCTATAGGGAGTTTCTCTCTTAATCGTCTGATATGAAGAATGTGCGCGAAATGGAGCGTGCTCCTCCTTACCGTATGCAATGCATAGAAACTAATAATATAGCACTTGAAGCTGGCATAATGCTATTAATCGTTACATTTTGTTTTCTTTTTTTTTTTGTCATTGTGTTATTTTTTTTTTATCTTTTATACCGGATGTGCTGTCGCTTTTTTTTTGTTTTGTTTTGTATTATTCGGGACAGCAAAGGAGGATTACATATTTTCTTTTTATAGCTGTGATTAGGCAGTACTTAATTTTCATTTTTATTTTGTATGATGGTATTTCTTGTTGTATTGATGATATGTAAGATGGGGACTGATAGCTGTCTTATCTTTTTTTTTTTTTGTTTATTCTTTTGATTTTTTTTTTCTTTTCTATTTTTTTGCTTCATTCATGTTAATTGATTTTGTACTTCGCGACAGAAGATCCATTCCGCCTAGCATCAGCATGATCATTTGATACGCTGGAAATCACCGTAAAAATATGCCTTTTCCCCTTTGCCGTCCACGGAAATTCTGTTACCATCAGGACAAACCGCCTTTCTGGATACTCTTGTTTTAATAAAGAAATATCAAATATGTTAATAACCCAGATGAGCAGAGACCCGAAAATACGAACGCCCGTACAAACTGACCACCTGATGAACTTACCTTATTCTAAGAACACATTCCGTTGTCATCTGACTCTTCTAAAGGACTTGTAACGCATTGTGGAGGTATACGTCTTAAATTCTCAACTCGCCAAATTGCCTTATCTGACTTAGTGTTATTAAGAATTATAAATCCAACTATTCCGAGCGATGACTGGTTTGAAGAAACGTAACTACCGCACAAAGTGACACGTTGAGGTTGAAATGGAACCCATAGACCATGGACCAAACCACATTTGTTTTTGTTCCGGTAATATACACACTTCATGTTGTCACTGACAGATGGCAATAACTGGAGATCATAATCTAGAAGAAGATTTGTTCCGTCGGTAAGTTAATGGTATTTACTCAGAAAAGCTGGTCTCCTAAATATTCGAATATGCTAAACTCTAACCAGACAGAAGTGAATGTTGGAACCTCGAACCAGCATCACACAGCACAGGTGTACCACGAGGCATCGCCTGCTGATAGACTATCTGGCTCCAAAGGATATGCCACAGAAGGGTTGTGTGTGTGTTCTGTCGTAGTATTCGTCATTCGTGTGTCTGATAAATATTTGAAAAAAAACTGTGCAGTGAGCGCAATCGCCTCGGCCACTTATTACAAAACTCATTCTAAAAGCTAGCATATATTCTATAGGATCCACTACTTTTAACATTCTGATAAGAAAGCCTTTTCTTTCAATATTCCAATATCAAATCAACAAATTGCAATCAGCATTGTTTTCAAAAATTGTAACTCTTCTAAAGTTGAAACGTACTACACTATTCTATTTTATTTTATAGAATTTACAAGGGCAAAGAAGCAAAGTACACATTAGTATGACAAGTTTTAACTGATGTTATTCAAAAAAATTAATGTATCTCTTCTCTTTAGATAAAATATTGTATAATGCCATGAAAACAATTAATGGGTCGGATCTCCCAAGGATCATTCCTAAATTAACAAAGGAAATACAACACAAACTTATTTGAATTCGATTATAATTTAAGAGAATGTTTGCTTTTTGTTTTTATTTTTTTTATTATTTATTTTTTTTTTTGATACAGAGTTTCAATTTGTTGTCGCAGGCTACAGTGAGCATTGCCGTGTGCGGATCACCTTATTATGCTCACAAGCAACCGAGAAAATATACTGGAAGCATCAAAATACGCTGGTCAAGCGCCATAAATTTTTTTCACTAAATTAGTGCACTTTGTCAGATCCTCCTGCCTCCCGCCTCCCAAGTAGCTTGGGACTACGAGGCATGTGCCACATGCCTGGCTAATTTTTATTAATACTCAGAGTGGCAATTTAATTTATTGATTTATATAGAGACCGGAGTCTCAGCTCTTGCTCAGGCAGCTTGATATTATATTCACACATAGCTACGTCCCACTTACCCACCTCTGGTTTTTGATCTCCTGACCTTTGATGTCGAAATCCGTCCCGCCTCGTGCTCTCGCAGCGAGAGCTAGGGATCTACCATAAAGCGCCACCGCGCCCGGCCTAAATGTTTTAGGTGAGCATACTTAAACCCGACTCTGAAGAACTGAAGAAGAATGTGGCATTCTTTATAAGATAAATAAAAAACCTTCAATAGTCATTCTCCTTAATTTAGAAATTCAGCAGTCCATCACTAACTTCTTTCAAAATTTGACCAGGCCGGCGTAAAATGGTGGCTCACGGCCTTAATCTACGCACTTTCGGGATGGTCTCGAGGAGCGGGCGGTAGCTCAAGGTCAAGAGTTGTGCGAGAGCGAGCACTGAGTCAGACTCCGTCTCTTACCGAAGAAAAAGAAATAAAAAAAGAATGACCATAACATAAAAATCTATAATCTACTACTACTCGCCATCCAAAATTTCAGCGGGCATTTCTCTTCACAGTGGCGCAATGCCTGTAGTCCCAGCTATCTCGGAGCATGAGGCGGAAGGCATCGCATGAACCGCCAGAGTTGAGGTTCGCTGGAGCTAGCTGACGCACAACGGCACTTTCACTCTAACCCCTGGGCAACAAAGTCTTCGAGCACTTACTGTTCTCCACAAAATAAAAAAAAAAAATTATGAAAGCCACCATAGTTCCAAAGGATGGAGAAAAAAACTAAGACCGGACTATGATTTATAGCAATATTTAGATACATCTTTGCTGGGAATCGACTCGCGTTCGCCCAGAGGATAACAACCGATGGTATGGTTGTGGACTCATGCTTCATACTCTCCTGACGAGTCTATAAACATTAGTCACAAAGTTGCATCTTCTCTACGCTATCTAAAAAAAAACAAAACATTTCATACTGGTTGCCCAAACACATCTGATCAAGCATTTTTCAGAGCAATTTCATTGATGGTCTGCTCTCATAAGAGAGGCGAAGAAAGAGATTACAATTAACCAAAGGCCAGAGAAAGGGCAGCTCTACTCTCTCAAGTCTGCAGAAGTTTGATTCCTTCCCAGCCTGGAAAGCACGTTGAGAATACTGCAAGCATCTTAGCCCACCACGCGACGCCACATGCCCATTATCTTAGATAGGCCAGAGCCGCTACTTCCTGCTCCACCATTGCTGGGGGATCTGGTTGAGTTCAAAAGACGGCAGGCGAAAGTAAAGGTGGAAGACGCAGTAGAACACATCAAAAGGAGGCCTGCCCATCCAGGAGAATACTTCAGTGTTTTTTCTTCTCCATTGTAAACTCCATGACTAAAATCTGGAAAGTCCAACCCTACCAATTATGAGTCGCATATTACATATAATTGATAGCAACTAGTACTCGGATGTATCTCAAAAGTACGCGGGATGTTTCAATATCAACTAGAGATTCTTTTTTTTTTTTTTTTTTTTTTTTGAGACAGTCTCAACTTGATGCCCAGGCTAGAGATCACAGATATGCCCGTGGCGCAGCGTGTACTGGCTCAGCCAGCATCCTCATCTCTGGGCTCAGCGAGTATGCCTCCGAATCTAGAGACTGCCTCCCAATTGCCTCCCGAGTATGATCGCTGGGAACTACAGGCATGTGCGCCAATTCTTGTATTTAAACACTTAATGCTCCAGTATCTAATTTTTTGTATAACTATTCCCTAGCTTTATATAAGTTATGGTCAATTTTAAATTGGTTATTTCTATTATTGGGTAAAGAGACAGGTCATCAGCTCAGGAGCTGGTTTCCGAACTCCTGATGCTCTTGAGCAATCCACCGGCCTCGGCCTCCTCCAATAGATACTAGGATGTAACAGGCGTGAGCCCCCCACGCCCGCAGATTCTTAAATTGCCTACCTTTATCGTCCGACATGTTAGTGTTAACATTAGCATAACTATGCTCCACGGAGCGAGACTTGGAAGTCAATTCAGAACCCTTGATCGTAAGACTGAAAGACATTCA